TATATGGAACTGATCCAGCAAAAGTGTCTGTCCTGAATGACAACAGGGTCTGCTTAGGAGGAGAGGAAGCTCTGAATCCACAGAATATGACCTCACTTCTCCTCCCCTAGCTTCCCAGCTGTGCAGTATCCTGACCTAGGCGCCAGCCATTCCCTCAGCTGCCCCTGTACAGTGTCCTAGCCTGGCTTCCTTCCACTCACCCGGCTTCCCGGTGCTCTAGCCCAGGAGCCCTCTGTTCCTCAAGCTGTTGAACTGTCAGAGACTTGGCCTGAGTGCCACCGGCCTGCCCTGCATTGTTGTTCCTTCTTCTGCTTCACACGGGCAATTGAAATCCTTCTTTATTTGTGTGCTAGTTACATTTCTATTTCTGTGATAAAGACCATATCAAAAAGCAGCTCGGGGAGGAAGGGTTTATTTAGTTTACATCATGAAGGGAAGTCAGGGCAGGACTCAAGGCAGAAACCTGGAGGCAAGAACTGAAGCACAGGCCATGGAGGAACACTGCTTACTGACTTGCTTTCCCTAGCTTCCTTTTTATGGGACTGGGTTTATCTCATATTGTAACTTAATTACATGGTTTTTTCCTTTCATTTCCCGCCTCCAAACCCTCCCATATGCCCTTCTCTACTCTCCTTCAAATTCATAGCCTGTTTGCATGCATATATATATTTTCTTTCCTAAATATAACCTGTTGTGTCTACATATTGTTACTTGTTTGTCTGTTTTCAAAGATGACCATTTGGCAGTGGACACCCAACTGGTGTGCTCTTCCCTGAGGAGGGTCACTTCTCTCACTCCCTGTAGGCTTTCCTCAGTTACCTACAATTCTTTGTGTAGGCTTGAGGCCTCGTGGGCTTTTCCCTGTCCAGTTTGGCTCAGTCAGCTTTCCGGTACCTCCAGTATCACCTCTCTAGGACAGCACTTCCCACAGGGGTTGGTTCTTCCCACATCAACCAATAATTTTTAAAAAATGCCCTAAAGACTTGCCTACCGACCAAGCTCATGGAACCATTTTCTCAATTGAGGTTCCTCTTACCAGATAGCTCTAGCTTGTGTCAAGTTGACAAAAAAACTAACCAGAACAATTTGGAAGAACCATCCAACCAAAACATAGTCAACAAAATTACAAACACTAATAATCAACTCTCAATAATAACCTTAAACATAAACTTAGCTCACAAATACAGATGCAGAGCAGCCGACAAAATTAGAAATCAAAGTTAAACTATTTTAATCTAGAAAAATGATACCTTTTTGGCAAAGACTGCCACAGAGTGGAAGACAATCCAGTAAGCAAACAAAAGCAGAAAAGCATAGCTATTCTGATATGTGTTTAAAATAGACACGCAAGAAAAATAGAAGAGATAAAAAAGGCCACAAAATATTAATAAATGGAGTATTTCACCATTACTATGTAAAGATTATAAATATATGTACAACGAATAATAGACCTCCCAATTTTATAAAACAAACACAATGGACATGAAATGTCACACAGATTCTGATATAATATTAGTGAGTGATATTATTACTCCCTTTTTATATTTCTTTTCAAATTTAGTCATTACTATTATTGTGTATATGTGTGCATGATGAGTGGGGGTGGTCATGTTCCTTGGCATATGTGGCGTTCACAGACTGCTTGTTAACTTTCACCTTTTACCTGGGTTCTAGTGATCAAACTCAGGTTTCCAGGGTTTTGTGGCAAACATCTTTACCTTCTGAGCCATCTCAATCCCCCTCACTTTTGATAGGTCACACAAGCTAACTGTTTTTAAAAAAATAAAAAATTTAGTAGAACTATAACTTAGTCTAGTGGATACGACCAATATCCTCAGAATATTCCATCCAACAGATGTGGAATGCACACTCCCAGCTGGCCATGGACCAGGGATGGAAGTCAGTTGTACCTGTAGACTCTTCTTCCCTGTGGTTTATGTTGAGATTAGCCCACAATGACAAGCATTTGGTGTCCATCAGAGCTGTCTTCACCTTAGCAGATTCCCTTCTGTGTGTACTGGAGCTTTGCTTTGCAGATGCTCCTACCTTACTAAGACTTCTCAGATTGTATCCTCTGCAGTGACTGATATTCTAGCTGAAGGCTGTCCACTAAATGTGCTAGGGGAAGCAACAATGTTGTTGAGGAGAGGAGGTATTACACTTTGGACATCTTCCAAGTATTAATCACCCTGTTGGAGGGACATATATATGGATGTCAAATTTCCTAAGGGAGCTTCTTAATTTTCCGATTATATAGCAGTAAATATTAGATGGGGGGATCTAGAGGTTGACCCACTTGCTGACATCAGGCTCAAAGCTCTCAAACTCCATGATTACTCTGTTACTGACGTCTGCTTCAAGTCACCAAGGTGGAGCTGCCCTTCCACACACACTTCACTTCCTGAGCTGATATCCCTGCTGCCTTCTCTTGTTCAGCTTGTTACTGCCCGGTATGGCTACTCTCTACAGCTGTCACCCTAGTACTGGGGCTAGTTGAGTTGAGCCTCCCAGATTTGTGATTATTCCCCATCTGTAGGCCCCCAGTTTTAGCTCAGTTTTAAGCAATAAGTTCCCTCACAAATAGTCCATTTGCTGAAGGCACCACTGTCTCGCCGAAACCTGCAACTGGATTTGAGGCTTGTCAGGGGTGTGAGCTCCTCTAAGGCAAATCTGTTTTCACCAGGGCTGTCTCTGTTATCTTCTGGATGGGGACTTATTTCCTGTCCTGCCACACAAATGAAGATGTCCTGTACTTGCCTTATTTCTACTCACTGTATCCCCTTTGCCTTTCTCTGAAGAAGTCTTGTATCTTCGTACATTTCCAAAGATCTTCCTTTCTCAGAATAGAATCTGTTTTTTTCTTTACTCATTCTTTCTCCTCACCAAGTCACACAAAGACAATATCTAGTCCACTATCTTACCCAGAATTCCAAATATTACAATCTTGGTCTGCCACAGGTGACACTGTAGTAATACAGATTATGGATCCTGTATCCATAATTTGGGACAAATTTTTCAGATTGATTTGGGTTTTTTGTAATATTTGCATATGCATAAGATAATTTGGGTATGGAACCCAAGTCTAATCATGAAATCTGTATATGTTTCATGTATACATTATACACATAGCCTGAAGATGTAATAACATTTTCAGTGCTCATGAACCTGTCACAGGAGGTCAAGTGTCAGACTTGCCAACGATACTTTCCTGTTGACAATCCAAAAGTTAGGGGATGTTTTTACTATTAGACATGCTTACCCTATATTAAACATCATCTCTTAAAGATGGAAAATTCATAGTTGTCTCCACTAAGGACTCTGACAAATTTTAATTTGTAAAAGTTGAGAAGTATCTTCTTTGTCCTTTGGGTTGACTGTGGAAGTATTATGTCGTTATGCTCGAGGAAGGAAACCACAGCTCTCTTCAGGGTATGAAGTATGATCAGAGGCTGAGTGGGTGAAAGAATGCACATGATGCTGTGCCTACAGCTAAAAATAGACTTCTTGGCGCTCAGCCCTCACTCTGTGTCTAGCTTGCTTTGCTACCTTAGGCCAGTTAATTTACCTACAATAATTTACTTTGGTTGTCCATGTTAGTTTATTACGGCTGCCATAATAAGTTAACAAACTTGATGGTCTAAGCAACAGAAATTTCTTCTCCCTCATTTCCAGAGCCAGGAACCTGAGGAGGGTTTCCTTGAGCTGAATTTCTGGTGCTGCCAATGCTGTGTACAGTCTGACTTTGGAGATGATGTCTTCCTTTCTTCATTCTCCTTCAGGTGACCACAGCATTCCTTGGCTGTGGCTTGTATCACCCCAGTGTCTACCTATATAGTCACATTAACTTCTCTTCCTCTGAATAGCTAATCTTCATTCACACCCCTCCTGTGTTCCATGTGATTTCACCCGAGTAGGGTGGACACATGCTGGAATCTCAGTATTCAGGAAGTGATGGGAGAAGGGTCAGGAGTTGAAGGCCAATCTTTAATGTACAACATGTTTGAGGACAGTTTCAGTTAAGAGACTGCCTCAGAGATAGGAAGGAAGGAAGGAAGGAAGGAAGGAAGGAAGGAAGGAAGGAAGGAAGGAAGGAAGGAAGGAAGACCTGTACCTGTGATTATAGTCTGGGACCTCCCAGATATTCCAGTATAACATCCTGACCTCTGATCCCTAATTAAATCATGTCTGAAAAGGTTTTTTTAACTGATATATAAGATAAAATTAAGAGATCCTAGAAAGTTAACATACATTTTAGGGGGAAGAATTATCCATTGCATTATAACTTTGTTGATAATAATACATACATGGACTTTCATATCAGTGGATTTCATTTGCATATATTCTACCAATCAGCCACTGAAAACAGTGAAGACAAAACCATGTCTCTACAGAACATGTGCAAACTATTGTCTTATTATATCCTCAACTACTTACGTGAAATTTACATTTTATTAGGCATTATATTATAAAATATGGAGGTGGATTGAATTTATTGAAAGATAGTTATAGTTTATATGTAAATACTGTACCATTTTACATAAGAGATGAGTATACATTCATTTTGTATCTGCAGAGGATTCTGAACAAATCCCTTATGAGATCTCTAAAAGAAAGCTATAGTGTGTGAAATTCTCCTACATCATCTAAGGTGCAATGAAACGCTCAGTAAATATGAATTTAGGATGATGATATCACAGCAAGAAAGGTACCCCCAAAAAGTCTATGTAAGCCAAATACCCTCCCCCTGGACTTCAGATGTGTACAAACCTAACAAGGCTAATATTATCCAAAGGAGTGTGTCTCTATATTGAATGATAATAACTCAGTAGTGCAGATATGCAATATGCACAGGCATTTTTGGCTTCAGATTTTCTTTTTTTTTTCATTTGAAATTGAAATCATTTCAGCACTTCTACCTATCCTGAATGCTTTCCAATGTCAAAGCAAAAGTATGATGTCATGAGATTGTCTCTTTTGTTCTCCTGTCTGCCACCATGTAGGACACAGATCTGATGACATTCAACATCTCTGTACATCGGTCATGGTGGAGGGAACATGGACCTGGCTGTGTCCGGAGAGTGCTGCCGCCATCAGCCCATGGCATGATGGATGACTACACATATGTCTCAGTCACAGGCTGTGTCGTCGATTTCCAGTACCTAGAGGTCATTCACAGTGCTGTACAAATCCTGCTATCTGTAAGTCTCACTTTTATATCATTGTCCGATATAGAGTCGTCTTTGTTGACATCTTATATCTGCAACCTGGTAGATAATGCCTCATATAAGCACACAGAAAACATTAACAACAGAAACAGCAGCAACCATGGAGTCATTAATGATCCATAACAGCTGGCTATCTCATTTTTCCTCACATTCAGACATTTTGTTTAGAACCAAGTACTTATGGTTTCCAACTTGAGACCCAACCTGCACTATGCAGTGAAATAATATCATCACCACCCAAAGTGGTCCATTATCAACTAGGTACTGCAAGCTGTGCTGCTAATGCATTCTTCAAATAGTGTGCTTCAGTTCCAGAGGAAGGATGGAAACACTTCCAATGGCTTGCTGACAATAATGTATCACACATTTCACATACTTATTCCTTAAAAAATAAGTCCCACTAGAAATGCTTGACATTTGGTGTCAGGACATAGTCCCATCAAGAAACAGAGGAATTGACTTGATTATACCACAGAAAGCATTATGTACCAGGAATTCTGTAAGGTAATTTCTTTCCATGAGACTCCTACTTACATTCTGACCATTGTATGGAGTAGAATTATTTAAAATGTGTAACATCAAGAACAATGTACACTGGTTTTCTTTTTGACATAGGATCTCACTATGTAGCTCTGGCTGGCGTGGAACTCTCTATGTTAGATCAAACTGGTCTTGAGCTCACAGACCCACCTGCCTCTGCCTCCCAAGTGCTGGAATTAAAGAGGTGCGTCACCATGCCCAGCTAAGCACAGTGTGTCTTTGAGATCCACTAAGGACTAACTATTTTAGAAAGAGCCAAGATCTAATATAACCATTATCAACTTTATTTTATGCATAAAGTAACCACTCTTTGACACAACAAAATACATCTCATTGTTAGTGGACCTCCTTTTAAAGTTCCATAAAGGATTTAGGATTTATCCTAGGTTTTTACAATCTTGCTCTATAAGTACCATATATCATCATTTTCTACATGATTGTATCAATCTTTATTTTTCCTCTGGTCCTTCTTTAATCTAGCAGTTTCAAATGAAACCAATAAAATATATGTGACTAAAAATTTGCTTTAAAAATCTGGAGGCTAGCATTCTCTTAAGATTTTTCAGTCTGGTTTAAACTATGAAATAATTAACCATTCAAAAACATAAAAGAACCAACCATTCATCTAACATGCTAAGGTTTCTTATTAATTTTTTAAATCCAAAACATTTTTCTAGACTTGTATGTGGAAAAAATTAACTTCACTTAAAAAAATGTTCATAATAAACTGCTAAACCATTTTGTGAAATGATAGCACATTTTTCCAAAGCTTTACAATGCAACAGAATACAGGAACCAAAAGGCCATTTTCCCAGAGTAACTCCAACCTAAATGCAGAGCAAGGTGAGGGCATTTGGTAAGGAGCTGGGCTGCCTCATAAAAGCATACCCAAAAGGAAAATCTAAAAAAACTATATGTGTTGCCACCTAAATGTACTTGTCACTTGTAAATGAATTTCTTAATTTATTTTAATAACCAGTCAAGTCTGCCAGTGTGCATTCATAGTTTTGATGGTGTTATGCAGCCTTTAGGAAATAAATGAGTTAGCCATTGCTCTCTCAGGTTTCTTGTGTAATACATTTGCAAGATGAAATATGCAATATTTTATCTTTTTTTAATTGAAATATAATCGACTCTGATTTTTTCACAGCTATAGGATAATAGTAGACCCTCTGCATCAACAGGGACCACTTGGAGACCTCTAGGAAATTCCTAACTCCTACAACATACTGACAGTTTGTCATTCACAGATATTCCTGGATCCTATAACATTCTATTCTTCCTATTTGTGCCTACCTATGGATACTATTTAATTAGGCCCAGTAAAAGATTAACAGTAATAATTTACATCAGATCTTAGCAACCTCAGCATGTGTTTTGGTTTTTTTTTTTTTTCTTGCTTAAGTCAAGAACTTACATCTTTTCACTTACAGGCAGTATTTTATGTCTTTTCTGGTTTCTCCAAGTTTTCAAAACCATTAAACTTGTGCTTTGGAAAGTTATTAATGAAAATAAAGTAATGAGAACACAGCTGCTGCCATAGTATAACTACCAATTCAATACCTCAGACAAAGGGTAGTGAATGGAGCAAGGATACATTGGACAGAGGGGTAATTCATGTCCAAGGATGGCTGAAGAGGAACAGTTGCAGATTTCATCACATCAGTACTCAAAACTAGGTGTGATTTAAAATACTCAGATGGTTAGTTTCTTTTCTTTTTCATGGTGGAGTATGGGCACTATTATAATACTTATGTTTTAAAATATGATTGTAAAAAATATTCCTGTATCCTATATTTATTGACTCCTGTTCTGGTTGTCTAAAATGGTAGTGGCAATATTTAACACTCTGTCAGGGGTGAGGCAGGCAGCAGTCAAGAGACAAGAGAAGCTTCTTTGGTATGGCACAGAGTCCCGGAGACTCAGCTACATCAAGGGTTATGTCCCTGACTACTAGATGGATAGAAACATGTCAAAGAACCTAGGAGAGGAATACTGTTATAGACTACCTAGCTGTTTGGGAGAGGGCCTCCAAGGATTTCAGGGCAGCTGTTTCCCACTAAATTAAAAGAAAGTCTTTGAATGATTTGCCAAGGGAAATAACTCTACTGGTGAATGGACAAATCTGCATTTAAGCTGTTGCTTACAGGTAGAAGAAAGGATTCTCTAGTCAAACTTTTCACAAAAAGTACAAAAGTTTGATAGAAAGGGTAAAAAATAACAACTAGCAAAGATGGTCCATATTCTAAATACACACACACACACACACACACACACACACACACACACACACACACACACACACACTGCAATATACATGCACTCCTTTCTTGGAAGCAAGAGTTGAAGATTGCAAACCTGAGCAAAGGTTCTTCTTGTCCTGATTCAGCAGGGCTACTATAAATTATCAGCAACATGGAGCTGAATGCCTTTTCAAGGTAATGTGTCAAGATGAGAAATCAAAATCTGTGACTATGTTCCAGCTGTGGGATGATCTACACTCTTCCTTACAAGCCTGGCTGTCCAGTCTTCATCCATATGTTCATTTCTCACCTTGAAGATGGTCAGAAATGTCAAAATAATCTTGTAGAGCCTGGTCCTGCCCCACCTGTCACCCAGGACCCTTCTCCTAGGAAGATTATTAATAATCACTAATCCAATCACTCTGTTCCTTCTCTTAGGAACCTGGAAATGATCTCTAAAACTCACCATGTCCAACCCTCTTTGGAACTAATTTGTAGCTAATTTTTCTGCCTTGTCCACAGTCAGGACAAATCTCTGTCACCCGCCAGTCCCACAGCTGCTCAGACCCAACCAAGTAAACACAGAGACTTATATTGCTTACAAACTGTATGGCCGTGGCAGGCTTCTTGCTAACTGTTCTTATAGCTTAAATTAATCCATTTCCATTAATCTATACCTTGCCACGTGGCTTGTGGCTTACCGGTGTCTTCACATGCTGCTTGTCATGGCGGCAGCTGGCAGTGTCTCTGACTCAGCCTTCCACTTCCCAGCTTTATTCTCCTCCTTGTCCCACCTATACTTCCTGCCTGGCCACTGACCAATCAGTGATTTATTTATTCACCAATCAGCAACACATTTGCCATACAGACCATCCCACAGCACCAGTTTTATGTATATTGTCTTGAGTGCTTGGGGTCAAGATATTTTCTCTTAGGTCTCACAGATGATGAGTCTCATTATTTCACCTCTTAAAAGTAAGTCTGCATGGTTGGGGCTGAGGCCAGAGCTCTGAGAATCAGTTTTTTATCATCCCCATGTCCTTTGAGTTGTTTTTCTCTTGCACATCTTCATCTCTCACTGTGTTCAGACACACATATAAGATGCATTCAGCCTAAATATGCATTAAAGTTGCATGTAGAAGGGTGTAAAATAACCATAGACTACCCACACAATCTCTGTCTTCAAAAGGCTGTAGAGATAGCATCTCCTTCTGCCTCAGAGTCAATATCACAGCAACAGCCACAGATAGCACTAAAGCTAATTCAGTACTGTATGCTTGTGGAGTACAAATGCAGGCCAAAAGTCAGTGCAATCCCAGTTTCTGAATTAAGTTCATACTGGTTGTACACCACCAAAAAGGTAAGCAGAGTTAAAAGTTGCCTCTTTCTCTCCTTCCCTCCCCCTGTCTCCTTCTCCCCCCCCCCCACCTCACATTTTCTTGACACTGAACTAAATGGTTTACAAGTATGAACTCAATCCTCAAAATGGCCCATTAAGTAAATGTTGTTATAGTCATTTTACACAGAAGAAAATGAGACTTACACAAAGGTTCAGGGGTTTTCCTGGGTTGCATATCTTCTGAATGAATGTGAACCTCTGACCAAGATAGATAGTCTCCAGACTCTATTTGTATTAAATACAAATAAAATAAATGGCATTATAATTGAGGATTTGGTAGACACAGAGCTAGATGTAACAATAATTGCACCAAAATCTTGGCATCCAGATTGGCCTCTTCAGGAGGTAAATGTTCATCTTTTAGGAATTGGAACTTTATCTCAGGTAAAGCAAAGCGCAAAATGGGTCAAATGTATAGGGCCAGAAGGACAGAGAGGAAAATTAAGGCCATGTGTGGCTAACATAGCAGTGAATTTATGGGAATGTGACTTGTTTCAGCAATGGAGTACCCAGATTCACATTCCTCCAATCTCAAACAAACCATAAACTAACGTATGTTTCTGGGGAAAATCGTAAAAGATATTATAAAGAACAGTCACTGGCCAAACAGGGCACAACTGCTGATCTGTCATAGGTACCAACAACCCTCCCTTTAAAAAGGTTAACTGAAAACCTGTCTGGGTGGAACAATGGTCTTTGACATCAGAAAAATTACAGGCCTTAGGACAGTTGATACAGGAGCAGCTAAATGCTCAACATATTGAAGAATTGACCAGTCCTTGGAAATTTCC